CACACCCCCACCGGCACTTATGCAGCTACCTAGATACACGAACTTCTCGACTACTTCTATCTGCTCACCATCCAGGATGAGTACAGGATTAGAATCCTGCCAGTCTTGTAGAAGTACTTTGCACTTCGAAGGTGCAAAGCACATACCATACCTACGGACACTGATTGCCAACTGATTAAGTGCGGATTGCATGCCTTGGGCATTATCGCACAGTAAGACAATATCGTCCGCATACTCAAGGTCAAGAAGTCTTTCTCCAGGCAACAGATCCACACCACCATTACTTACACCCATCAGAGCTGTTTCCAGAATATCGTCGATGGCAAAGTTGAGGAGGAATGGTGAGATTGGGCAACCCTGCCTAACCCCACTGCTCGAATGAAACAATAGAGAGAGGTGGTTGTATGCCCTCACTCTGCCTGAGGTGTTTGTATATAGGGATTTCAGGATGGATCAGTCGTCGCCGGCCATGGAGGACAGGACAGTCTGGCCGATGTTGCCGGAGCAGCAGGCCAAGTGAACTGCCCTTCGAAAAATTCTGCCCATCGTCCAAGACGTCTATGGATGTTAGTGATTGGCATCCCATCATCCTCGCAGATTGTTTCGCTCACACCAGCGGCTCGGATGAGTTGGAAGAGCTTCCGGTAATTGCCAGATGCAGCTGCTGCTTCCAGCTCATTAGCACTTTTCGACCACCAGGCTTCTCGATCCTTACAGCACATAACCGACTGTTAATGGGGATCCAATCGATTAGTGCTGCCTCAGCTCTAGAGCTTAGTGTGACACCAAAGCCAGCGAGACCAGACGAAGATGCCACAGAGTCCCCGGATAAGCGCACGTAAAACAAGCTCTTCGAAGCGATAGATGAAGAGCGAATTTGTAGTACTTTACCAGAGTCTTGAATACGGGTCTCGGATAGACAGCAGACATCGATATTAAGACTTTTCAAGGACATAGCCAGCCCTATCTGTTGTCCAACCTACATAGGTGTGCGAACGTTGAAGGCAGCCAGTTTGAATGGTGCACGTGGTTTCAGAAAAACTGCTTCAGTCCTCGTATTCGGTGGTAACATACAATTTTCAACCGGACAGTGACTCGCGAACGTTTAGATACAGTCGAATTTCCACCATAGACGAGCCGCTGTATAAGTATAATTAGGGTGAATAATGTGGTAAATATTTTGAGCGTAATACGCTTCTCGTTGTTCGAAAATGGGAGAATTTCGCCAAAAGGCAGGCTTCCACCCGAGAAAAACTATTTTTTCTCCATGGGTGTCTTCGCCAGCAAAAAGTGTAAGACATATACCTCCAATCAACTGCCCATTAGGATGGAGAATAGCTGAACAAGGTGGAAGAAAAATGGTACACCTAATGATAACGGATGCACACTACAGGATCTGCAAATACCAACACGTCATAGAGGACCAAAAGATAAAGCTACAAAGGATGCTCACATCAGAACATTTGGAAATCGTGACAACAGCCATCGAGATATCATGCAAACGACATAGAGACCAAAGAAGAAACACCTTAAAGAAAAAACTAATCAAGATCTCAAAACCATCCATGGAAGAAAACACAAACAACTGCGTGATCAATCTGTCAAAACAACCACTAACAAATACGGAAGAACACCTGATCCAAAAGGGATTAAACTGGAATACAAGCGACGCCTCAAAGCTGGAGTTCTTCGCAGCACTAGGGTCATCACTCAAAACTTCCGGAATCAATGAAGAAACACAACAGGAAATAAGGCAGACTATAGTAGCGATAACTCAACAGGTGAAAGAAAACAACCAGCTGACTCCACAAGAACAAAAGGCCTTGAAAGAACACAGAAATACGAAGGATATTATCATAATACAAGCGGACAAAGGACGCACCACAGTAATCATGGACAAAGAAGAATACCTCAACAAAGCCGAAGAACTACTCGAAGATAAAAGCACATACATTTAGACAACCAAATCTCGAAGACTTTAAACAAGCAAGTCAGAGCAGGAGAAATAACAAAACAAGATCAATGGAGAATGAAATCCAGTGGACCAGTACTCCCTCGATTCTACGGCAGACACAAAATACACAAACCAAACATTCCACTACGTCCAATAGTAGCACTCCCCGGAACGCCAACGTACAATTTGTAAAAAGAAATTTCACGAATACTGAGACATCTAGTAGATTCAGCCAAACACTCCATCAAATCCCCAACACAATTCTTGGACCAAATTAAGGATATTCAAATCAACAACGACGAACTCATGATATCCTTCGACGTAACAGCACTGTTCACCTCAATTGAACCACAGTTAGCAAAAGAAACTATATCCCTGCTACTCAACAACGACACAAATCTCACCAAATACACGAAGCTTCAAATTCAAAGTCTACTGGAACTCATCGATTTATGCCTAACAACATATTTTCAGTTCAACAACAAAATCTACGAACAAACGAAAGGGACACCAATGGGATCACCAATATCAGGACTGATCGCAGAGGCAGTGATGCAAAGACTAGAAGCCACGATACTACCAGTGATCAAGCCAAAAATTTGGATTCGCTACGTAGACGACACCTTCGTCATCGTCAAAAAGAATGAACTGGAAAACACATACAAACTGATCAACAACGTTTTCAATGAAATCAAGTTCACAATGGAACAGGAGTCAAACAACCAACTAGCATTCTTGGATATATCGCTCACTAGAACTGATACAGGAAAACTGGAAACTCAAGTATGTAGGAAACCAACCCATACAGATCAAATTCTCAACTACAACAGCAACAACCCAACATCTCACAAAATCAACTGCGTACACACATTGTTCAAGAGGGCGAGGACACACTGCAGCACACTGGAAGCACGAAAAAATGAAGAGAAATACCTGAAGGACATATTTCAAAAGAACGGCTACTCAATCAACTTCATCAAAAAGCACCAACGGCACACAGCATCAGAACCCAAGTCAAGCACAAAAATCAACAAAAGGATCACCCTACCGTACATACAAGGAATATCGGAAACCGCAACGAGACTGCTGAAAACCTACGAGATAGGTGTGGCACACAAACCAACATAATCACTACAATCAATCCTATGCAAACCAAAAGATGAAATAACAAAGGAAAACAAATCAAACATCATCTACAAAATAAATTGTACCAACTGCGACGAACACTATATAGGACAAAGCGGACGCCCTCTCCACCTACGCCTACATGAACATCAATTAGCAGCCAAACGCCATGATATCTCTCCACTTATATCAATACACGTGGATAACTACGGACACTCATTCGATTGAAAAAATGTAGAAATCTTAGACAGAGGAAACTCCAAAAACACTAGAGAATTTTTAGAAGCCTGGCACTCAGGGCAATCAGCAATCAATAAACATATTGAAATCAATCAAATTTATCAACCAATCAGGAAATTTATGCACAAATATAGGAACAAAAATCAAACCAATGTGAGACATAACCAAAACAAAGAGGTAAACAATGATAAATTTAAGGTCAACAAGAACCAATCAACATCGAGGTGCACAGAACAAGCTGTGAAACACATATGGAGAAATTCGAACACTTCATTTCTATCTGAAGTTTGTGCCGATGATGTCGTTCAGAAGAGCGATGAAAGCTCCACGAGCAAACCAACCAGCTCAGAGAACAAAACTCCACCAAAATGTGTTAAATAATAATAATAATTTGATTGTTAGTTGAAGCAAGTAAAGTAGTTTTCATAATTATAGGCAGTTCATCATATTTGTGTGTGGGCTGTGATACTGCCTGGGTGCCCAGACCGAAGCTGGTGGTTATCTTAGAGGGCCACACCTCGAGCCTTAACCTAAAGGTCTAACCCACAAGGCAGTTGAGCATCGTAAGGAGATGCAGTACCACGGTAGCCGGTGACCGACGATTGGTTCATACGCCATTTGTTCCCGCGATTGCCGATTATAAACGTAGTCGATTAGTTAGTTCTATCGATTGAACTAATTATTTGGTTTTAAATGCTAATCAACATTGACATGAAGCAACGAAAGTTCACAGTAATAGATTAACATAGGCGATGATAAAAATGAAAGTGAATAAGTATAGAATGCAATAATAAAGATTATAGTGATAGGTTGCGTTATTCGAAATCTTGCTCACCAGTGTAGATCACCAACGTAGATGATCTATGTCGAAATGGTTGGAGGCCTACTGGAGTTAGACGTGAATGATGTGACAAACTAGCTAATGTCGAAGTCACACCTCATAGTCAGCACCTTACGTGGACTACCCCATCGACGTATCAAGGTACCATAGATGCTCTGAAAACTGTACAACACAGAGGACGTTATTACAGAAATATATTAGTTAAAGTAGATACAATCGAAAGTAAGACCACTGCCGCATGGGTCAGTCCATGGTATACGATTAACTTATGCGCGTTGGTTGTCCCTGACCTTGACGAGGATCGACGATTTGCTCGATATTCAATGACCCGACTGCCGGATGATTTGGCTAGGGCTTAGTGACATTTCGCTGGCCCAACACGACTATCATATCAGGCTGCGATACGCAGTTGTACGTCTTGAGTTTGTAGTGATAATTTTACCTAACCACATGGTCTTTGAAGCTCAACATATCACTTAGAAGATTGAAGTTCAACATATAACACTAAGAGAATGTCGACAATGGTGAACGAGGAAACATGCATTCAATAAAATTTCGCGGCTCGGTCTTGCAGGTGTGATCATTCTTGTGTAAAAGATCTCTTTAATTCACAATAACTAGATTATTGTTCTATCTCCATCCTAAATTTATTATTTAGAAACGCTAAACATTATATTGTTCATTTTCACAGTACGAGGAATTAGAATAGACAATGTTTCTTTACACTGTTCACATGAAATACATTGTTTGTCGATTTTTAACATGATGTAATAAAAATAACTAACCGCGAACGTTGTGGAACTAAGAAAATGTTTACTTATATTTTTGTTTAAGTAAAGCATTGTTATTTATTTCTGAGAAGCCACTTTACGAACTATGCGTTCCAAAGTGCATCTGAGGATTTCACTTCCTTATGTTGTTTTCTTGTCGATTATATGTCCTTTATCAAATGGTCAGTATATGTTAATTAATATGATGCAATTATTCTAAAGGTTTCATTCCTCAGATCACTGATAGAATCGAAACGGCAGTTGTACAAGAAAAAGGTACTGCTTATCTTAACTGTACAGCAGTCATAGAGGAACAACAGGAGTCTGTAAGTAAACATACGCCTTTATAACATTTTGTCAAACGTATCATCACTCAGTCGCGGTTCGACTGGAGAGCTATATTTATTAAATTCTATGACACCACTTGCAAATTTTACGTGTTTACATATATAGACACATACTAAATAAAAAGTACTACTATACGTTTTTGATAGCTGACAGTTTTTATATCGTTATTGATCAGCTCATTTGGACTCTGATTGCACCAAAATATCTCTAAAATTGTTTCATCTACTTTTCTGGTAAGATGTTCAAGTCTTTTTACCGATAGATTTTTATGCGAAACTTCACGGACTAATATTAATGGAAATTCTTTATATTATTATTGATATTGCTGACATTAAAATTGATGTCTGCAGCTAGTCATTATGGATGTTATTACGTGTTCCGGTAGAGAATTCCAGTAATTCACTACTCACAACATGAAATATATTTGGCAAATATTCTGTGTTTGCCTTAGTCTCGTAACTGCACTTTTCTGTAATTCAGAGCTCGCTGAGATTGGACTGTCACTGTGTTTTCTTGCTTTTTTAAAATCGTTTTCAAGTATTACTACTACTGAATCTCCGTGGGGTACATTGGTAGTTGGATCAATAATACCAGTTGATCAACCCCAAATGATTGATTCTCCCACTGCGTGCGAAATAATTTTCTGAATAAACAGACAGCCATTTGTTTGAGGGATGGTCCATAATTGTTTTGTAACGTGCTTCAGTCTATTGGTCTGAGTACTTGGAAACGGTAGACACATCATTTGCGTCAATAAAATTTCCAGGAAACTGGATATTTAGCGGCAAGCCCAACCTTTTTCGTTGTCGCCAGCTATACGACATGTAAAAAACTATTTAACCTCTGCCTTCAGAGGTAAAAGATCTGCTTTTAGAAGAATTATGGCGCCTCATGATGAAAGTCGAGAGTCTTCGGAAGTCACGAGGCTGATGACCCTTCTAACAACTAAAGCAACAACTTATATAGGTACATGGAATGTTCAGACAGTGTGAAAGACTGGAAGGACCAATCAAATAGCTATTGGAAATTAGAAGACACGACTTGACTGTTCTCAGAATTAGTCAAACTCATTAGACCAAAGCAGAACGGAAAAGGATAAATTGTAGAGAGATGCTGCCATACTGTGGTCACGAAGACGAAAATGCTCCTCACACTCAGAAATTTGCTTTGATGCTGTACTAAGAAGCACGTAGAGCAGAGCACTTATAGGGTGGGAATCTCGTGGATCGATGATCATCAAAGCATCCTTCTAAAGAAAGAGGAAGGAAATCACGATGAATGTTATCGAATGTTATGCACCAACCGATGATAGCTAGGACAACAATGAAGATCAGTTTTATGAGAGACTGCAATTGATCATAGCGAAGTGCACATGAATGGACTTGACAATCCTGATTGGAGATCTAAACATCAAAGTCTGAATGGACAACGGTGGGTCTGAAAATATCATGGGACGAAAGGGACAGGGGAGTGGGAGGAGGATACAATAATTGTGACTGGTTTTGAAATTAATGTGCATTCAACAAAATTGTTGTAGGCGGCGCAATATTTTCACAAAAAAGTATACACGAAGTTGCATGGATCTCAACATATCACACTATAGAGAATCAGATCTATGATATTCACATCACTAGAAAATTCTAAATGTCAATGGAAGTTGTGAGGATCAGGAGACGAGTTGATCTAGCTTCAGATCACTATCTACTTTTCGGTTTCTAAGATTAAAATGAAGCTAAGGGTACACTGGAAAACTGGAGAAGCAGTATTACAAAGGTTCACCACAGCCTTCCTTCGAGGTATTGAAAAACTTACCGAATTCAAGATAGCTTTCAACAGCAGATTCCAAGCCTTACAAGGTCTACTGAAAGAAGTAAGCACTATGTAGGACAACTGGTAAGGGATCAGAATTCACCACGTCTAATGCGTCAGGAGGTTCTGGGTTGCAACATGCATCGTCATAAGGAATGGATCTCTATGGACAGAATTTAGAAGACGAAGAACAAGAAGACAGTAATTAACATCATTCGAACAAGAACGGAGGAAGTCAAGACAAGCTGAATACACTGAGGCAAACAAGTAGGTGAAGAGGAGTATTAGAACTGACAGGCAGAAATACGTGGAAGACCTAACAACGACATTGTAAAAGCTGCAACAGAAAGGAATAGCAGACAACTATATGATTTAACGGGGAAACTAGTAGGGAAATATGGTAGACCAGAGAGACCAGTCAAGGACAAAGAAGGCAAGCCAATCATCGAGATTCAAGGGCAGAGGAACGGATGGGTGGGATACTATGAAGAACTATTGAATAGACTAGCTTCATTGAACCCACTGGACATCGAGGCAGCACCTACAAACCTTCCTGTAGATGTCACTACACCAACTATCTAAGAAATCAGGATGACCGATCATCGGACAAATAAAGATTTGGGAAGCAGCAGGATTTGATAACATATCAGCTAAAACACTGGAGTCAGATATAGGAGTGACTGCAAGCGTACCCCATGTTTTATTGAAGAAGATTTTGAAGGAAGAACAAGTGTCGACAGACAGGAAATTAGGACACCTCATCAAAATACCAAGTAAAAGAGATCTGAGCAAGTGTTAGAATTACAGAGGCATCACACTACTCTCAGTATCACGAATGGTTTTCAACGGAGTGTTACTGAACCGGATGAAATATTCAGTAGACGCACAACTTTGAGATCGCCAGGCTAGATTACTTACGGATCGGTCGATCACAGACCGAATCGCGACATTACGAATCACCGTTGAACAATCAATTGAATGGAAATCGTCACTATACATCGACTTCCTTAATCATGAGAACGCGTTTGGCAGCGTGGATATGATGATCTTTTGGAATCTTCTTCAACACTATGAACTGAGTAACTGAAAAGGTCATCAACATCATTCGGAATTCATACGACGGAGTACACTACAAATTTGTGCATGGAATATAGCAGGCATATGCATTCCAAGTGGGGATCAGTGTCAGACAAGGCTGCTCAATCTCACTATTTCTCTTTCTGCTATGACGGGATGAAAAATCAAAATTGGATTCTTTTACTCATTATGGTTTTTGTTCAGTATTACTTCCGTTTTTTTCAGTATGATGATTACTCAGTGTAGTATTTGTTTTGTTTTCCACTGTGATATTTTATTCTGTATAACATACGATATTCTTGTATTAAATTAACATGGATTATACTCAGCATGATATGTAGCATGTGATTTCTTATAACTGTAAGTGTTTTTCATATATGTGATTTCATACTAATTATTAGTCGAAATGTGTGTACAATCAATATATAAATGAGTATATTTTGACTAGGGTCGTCGTCGCGTTATGGAGTTAATAAATCTCTACTTGTACTTGTGTTCTTACTTTTGCATCGTGGGAATTGCAGTAGTTCCTTGATTTTACAAGTATAAATAATAAGTGATCCAAACATAAAAATCAGCGACCAGATATAACAATTGGTGACGCAGTCATAACAGTCGACCACTAGTCATAACACTTTCTTCTGGTGGTTGAATCGATTTTGAAGACCTCCACATCTAAGGGAAAGCTGGATACCACCATCATCAGCTTACTGTGAGAGAGAGAGCTAATCAGCTTCAATCTGTAGAGGAAATTAGGGGAAGACGTTGGTGTTGGTAGGTGGAAAATACATTGTGGAAACCAACAATTGCATCATGAGGCAAGCTCTAACTTGGAATCCTGAAGGGAACCGGAAAAGAGAAATACCAAGGAATACATTGCGTCGAGAATTTGAAGCAGACATGAAGAGAATGAATAGCAACTGGAAACAAGTGGAAAGGATTTTCCAGGACAGAGGATGGTTGTGGGCGGCCTATGCCGTAAGTAAGTTAGTATGTGGTTTCCTGGTGTCAATTTACTATATGGTTGGATTATCAGTTAATTAGCTTCTAATTTGCGAAAAGTAATTTCACAGTATTCTCTTGATAGTCTAGTGCGGGGGTTACACATGGCATCCTGTTTCGCAAGAAGTATTAAATTCCAAAGAAGTAATAATACTTGTTTTGCCAAATATCTACAGAAACTAAGTTCTTAAAAACAATTAAGAAAGTCAAATACTTCAATTGCGTGAGACATTTATTTACCTGATCATTGTATTTATTGTAACCTGTGTTTATAAGATATTTTCACAAGTGAAACTTAAGACATATCAGTTTAGATACGAAACATTATAAATAAATTAACCCTTGTCGTAATTTTGGTGAGTATTTAACAAATATGGTCTTAATAACAGATTCACGTTATTTTTGGTCATTGGTTAGTGAGTCACATTTATTTTAAAAGTATGAAAACAATTCAACTCTTGTCTCTTTTGTCATATTTGTAGCAAATTAGTTGGTATCGTACTGTAGATAAACAACAAATCTCATCTGGTAGTACACTTAAAGATCCTGTTCGTCGTGGTCCTCATGGTGTCAGCAAATATGCAGTTAGGTTTCTTCCTGGAAGACCCAACTATGCACCTAATATGGCTGGTGTTGACGTAAACAAACTACGTACCTACCAACTGATTGTTCGATTTGTAGATATTAATGATGCAGATACACAATTCAGGTGTGTTATTGAATTGAGTAAGTTTAGGAAAATATTACTTATTTTAGGACTTAAAGAGAATTTGTCAAAATCTTTCACTACGTTGGGATCGTTTTTAATTTAAGTAGCTGAAATTTTTATAAACTGAAATTTCTTTTTGATTCCTTGATTTGCACTGGAAGTTATGAGGCTGGTAATATGATTATTGTTTTGTTTCCTTATTTACATCACCATAGCTGGTTAATGGCATTAATGTTTCTTTTAACATGTAATACTACATGTTGGAAGTTTCAACTAATTACTTACCATGTTTTTCAATAACTGTCTTTGTTTTGTACTGCAACCAATTACCTTTCTTATTTACTCTAGACAATCTCCAAATTATTGAATTAACTTTATCAGTTTATCTTTATCATTTTAGCTTTTACTAAAACCAAGTTTGCTTGATGAAAAAGAGTCCTGACATCAAATTTAGGGGTGAATGACTTACATTTCCTTTGTTTCACTACCTTACTCTCATTTTGAAGGTTAAACCATAATTCTTGTGTCTTCCCACATCTATCTAACAGGAAGGAATAATACCCTTACAGGGTATAATACTGTCTACTGAAATTTCGAACCACCTTGATATTTACAGATTACTCAGTATGTACTCTTGAGAACTAATAAAACCGTTTTCAATCATAGCGTAATTTGTTTTTATGTTTATATTTTTTATGCCCATGAACGTTTTATACCATAGTTAAAAATACTACCAAGACCAGCTTAACCGTGAAGATGATGAGCCTTTGGACGTTTATTTATTACACATAAAGCTTCTGTAATTCATCTTTATAAACAGTCACTGATAACTCCAGATTACTAAATAACCGTTTGGATCTATTCTAGTACTCTTTTAAATTATAAACTGAATAGCTCATTGTTATGACTTTAAGTTGTGGCCGATTTTTACCCTGTGCTAATTGTTGTGTCCTTGACTGGAAAATTAGAGAGCAGCGTACTTATCGATCGATTCAATGACACGTAAACACGTACGGACGGCCTAGAGTCTCGATTGGTCTCACTTCCCTGTCTAGCCCAGTCAGTTGAGTCCAGAACACAAGTCACAGCCTCGGAGATATGAATCATTGTATTTCAGACATGCTCTATTTATATACCAAACAAGCAAACCACATCGTACCATAAAAATAGTAAACAACATTTACACAATATGTAACATATGAATTAAATAATAGCCGATAGGGAATGTACATTTAAAGTCCAAGGCCACCATAGACTTAACATGACAATGATTGGCATATTATTCTGTATCCACAACACTCAGTTTATTTTCTTAATAATATTTATTATTTAAACGTCATCTCATCGTTTCATCGAGTTTGTTTATCACTGAAATAGTTTTTTAAATTTGTTTGACATTCGATTTTTTCGATTTGTTGATATTCAGGAACTACACCAGTTGATCAGTGGCCTGTAGCATATGGGAATATTATTGTGAAACGCGCTCCTGAAATTCTCCCGGGGTTGACATCTAAAATTGTGACGGAAGGAGACTCTTTAACGTTAGTTTGCCGGGCACAAGGCTCGCCACCACCGATGATAAGTTGGACTAGAGCTAATGGAAGGCCTCTGTCACTTCCAGGTTCACCACAAAGAATTTATGTACGTTTTATTGAAATCTTCCTAATTTTTTTCTAAAAATGGCTGGACTAAAGTTATTTTCAAGAAAAGCTATTGAGCTCATAGTTTTATCCATGTTACATATCAATTGTTAAGACTGGCAAAATTTCAACTTATTTAGGTTTTATTAAAATCGATTGCCTTGATTACATTAACGTTCGGTGTTACTAATAATTTTTTTAAGAATTCAACACTACATATTCCCCGCGTTGATCGTTATGATCGTGGTGTTTATCGATGTTATGCAGTTAACAACGTAGCTGGGTCGGCTGAATATGATGTAATGGTGGAAGTTAATTATGCACCACATGTTCGTGAGGCTCGGTTCAAGGGAGCTTATGGACAGGTAAATATTACTATTACCCTTAACGATTTGATATTGAAAATAATTTACTTTTGATAAATAAACAGATTTTACTCTATAAAAACACGTTGAATTTACTGAAGAATTATCGTTTATTGATCACTGATGGACTTATCAGATATTTTGTTGCATAATGACAAAAGCCTCCTATTGATACTTATGAGTTAGTTAAAGCTAAACTAAAAGAAACTTGGACTGAATGGTTAAGACCTCTTAAGATTCCCTGTGATGGTTTAGTTTTGGATGCAGAAAGGTATTCACAATTAGTGTTTATTGCTTATTTAATGATTCTTTTAATGACATAAGCTGGTCATTTTGTATTCTGAAAATATGACAGACATATTTTGATACCTTAAGAGCCTCTTCAACGATTTTTATGACTATGATTTTGAGGAGTAACTAGGTTGCCTAACTATTGTGGATTGATCTTTTCGTGTTTCACCTGTGATTAGTCGAAATCGTATAGTACATGTGACCACTTATCTAATCTTTTACTGTGGTTTCATCCTATTTATATTGAAACGAGAACCACTGTATCAATCTTCGTATACTTCGTCTTGAAAAATAGGTATTGTTTCATCACTATTAAGTGGCTTCGTTTTTATTTTTTTTACCTGTAAAATTCTTATTTAGGCACCAGATGGAAATTATGACATGACATTGGAATGCATTGTCAATGGATATCCTGACCCTGATTTATTATGGTATACTGGAATTTATGATCCGATAACTAATAATAAACCCCTATTTGATAATAATCGTTATGAACTTGAAAAAGCTCAAAGTTATGGTTCAGCTGGAACAAATGTAAGCTTCCGTGTTATTAGTTCAAATGAATACTTTTTAATATATTTTTCTTGTTTACCAAATGTTTGTTTTATTGAGATCAAAACCTGATCTAGGTTAAACAACCATTAAAAAATCTGGAAGCACCAGACCACTGTTTCATTTTACTACGGAACTTCTCATCAGTGCTCATAGTCGACCCTGAAACCAAGGGTTGATCTTACTCACGAACCGTTAATTCCTAGACTACCGATCCGAGATCCGATTTTAATTTATCCACAATACTGGGCGATCATTTTTTTGTATTCAGTGGGTACTTTTCTCATACTCAATAGTGTCGAATGATATAACGTATGGATTACAATATTTTCCTGTTACACGTATATTAGGATATTACGTTAATAAAACTAATCACGTTATAGCAGAACTAGGATTCGCGACCTGAAGTATTGAACCAGATTAACACTAGAGAATATCCTTTCAATACAATTACAAGCAGTCAGACACAGTGAGTCCAGAGTAGAAATCAATAATTGTTATAACTGCCCTCAAGCTAGTATTTACAATATATTTTGTATTCACCCTCATAATCATTAGGTAGACAATAATCTCCCATATTTCTAATCTATGATTTCCAGTATTTTTAATCAAACAATCTCTTTTAAACACTTATGACTCCCAAACACTGTGATATAATGTCGTTTTATTTCCCATACATGTTTAACAGCTATAAACGCAAGTACACTGTTTTAAGTGATTTCTTCGAGAATTTCAAGCTTTGTGTTCAGCCAACTATTCATTTGATTACATTTATCTTTGCAATTTTCCTATCTAAATAACTCGTAAAAGTGATAGTATCGTAAATCAATCTACTAAAGACTTTGAATTAAACTTCTAAACCCTTTATTATCTGCTTATTTTTTCAATGCAATATTCAGACTGTTTTTTTAAAAGTGATTTATAGCAGCGTATGACTGTTGGGGAAATGGTTGATTACTTTGTATATATAACACGGATTACTGTAAAAGTAAATACATCCAAGTATTCAGCTAATAGTGAATTATTTCATTAATAATAAATAAGCATTTGTTCCTGAATACTAGTTGTAGTTCGTTTTATAACATCCAGGACAAATCAAAATAATTATAAAGAAGGTGTTGTTAACTGATAAATCAATATAATTCTGGAAAGGGAGTTTTTAGAACAACATACTTATGTAAGTTGTCGATATTTTCACTCCAACATTTTGTTGCGAACTTTGGTAGATATCTACTTGGTGAAGATTTTTATGTCACTAGAAAAGGATTTTGATTTTTTTAGATAAAATATCCAACACAAATAATAAATTAGTGACGGTTACTAGGATCTGCTTATAAAGTGCACAATATCGAATGTTTAGACTATCTTGCCTGTGTTTTTTCTTCTGTTCATGCTTTCACTCTTCAGTACACAGGTATTCTAATGCAATATAGATTATTTCAGTCTCAATTCAGTAATTCGATAAATCTACTATCTCTAATTTAGTAATTGGTTATTAACTGTAAAGAAAAATTTCCAAAAATATTCGATTACACATTAGAATTACTTTTGTCAATGTTTTTTTCTTTCAAAAATACACTTCAAATTTAGGTAACTGATGTTTTCTCAACTCTACTAATTCGTAATGTACGAGTTGGTGATTATGGAAATTATTCTTGTAGAGCGGAAAACAAATATGGATCAAATTTTGTTGTACTCAGTTTATTTTGTAAGTTCAGCATAGAAAATTACAGTTTAATTTCCGCTATTTAAAGATTCATTTTGAAAAGTTTTTTTCTTATTTCTACTTTCATGTTCAGACAGTGATTCATAACGACAGGTTAGGACAGAATTGAATAACCATAAATTCATCTCAGCGGAAGCAAATAGAAAATAGTATTAATGGACATATTGATATTATGCCTTCAACGGACTCATGATCTTAACCATTGAAATTACTATAATATCCACAAAACCCATCTGATATTAGAGATAATAGCCAACAATAAACAGAAAGATCATACTATGAGAATGCACTGTATTTAATGAAGTACTCATTACTTCTTTCTTTGTCGAAACATATACATATATATTTATGGAACATTTAAATACAAATTAATATTTTACTTAAGCTTTTTCGACCGATGAATTCCAATTATTTTAGCTAAAAATGTTATTGTATTTGATTTCATTTATTTATGTTTAGATCAATCAATCTGTCAAGGTGCTTACTGTCCAATGCTTGGGGCTGTTTCCTTGGAAGCTCGAGTTAATGAAGATGGAACTTCAGTTATCAACTAATTTAATAATAAGCTATGAAATTGTCACAGTGTTCTTTTTATCTCTATCTTGTTATCTTCGACTTTTAAAATTTTTACTGTCATGTAGATACAATAACTATTTTAAAATAAACATTTTATAATTATACTACTTTTTTCAGTATAGGGTTGTGGAGAGTGTTGAATTTCATTGAAATCATGAACTGATCAATTTTAGACCACCATTAGAGACCATGAAGCACTTAACGGCCGCTTCTTCCTAGTATGGGACTCCTCAGCAGTGTGCATCTGTGATCACGCATGCGAATACTAAACCTCTAAACCATTGAGCCGACATCCAAAAGTGTTAATGCTTAACTCTAATTGATCCACAACATTGAGCGATATTTTCCATTGTCTATGGTAGGCAACTGCTTCATACTCAACACGATTGAAATCCGCTGGTCACAGATTCTCATTAGAACAATTGAAGATGGTTGCACAATATCGCGGATTGTTTGAATTTAGCCATTAACACCGTTTGATGACAACTCAGTGATCTAGAAGTTAAGAGTTTATGCGCGAGACCAAAAGTTCTGGGTTAGAATTCCGCGTGCAAAATCATGGATGGGCGCTTCTGCAGAGTCCCATATATATATATATATATATATACTACTTTTAAGTGATAAGTATCATAGTTCCCGTAATAACATTTTCAATGTGACGTTCACTTTATTTGCTGAATATAACACTTCATACACATAGTTCCCTTTATCATTTTGAAAAGAGCAAGAACAAACATTCGAGCAGAATAGCATGAATTCATTTTTATTTCGTTGGTTCTCGTCAGCTGCTTACAACCTGTGATATTTAAAATCATAATTAATGGGTTTAAATTACCTACATGAAAGAGTTTGATTAGAAGTTATATTGAAGATATATTCGTATAGTATAGCAAGGGTGTAAATAAATTTAATAGACTGTGACAACAGTTCAAACGGCTAGAAACAAGTAAACATTGATAGGAATAAAATTAATTATGATTTTAAATATCACAGGTTGTAAACAGCTGACAAGAACCAACGAAATAAAAATGAATTCATGCTATTCTACTAGAATGAATATAACATTTTCTGATTTTCCAGTTTATTAAGTTAGAAATTTTTCCAATATTAAAAGTTGATCACCCTCTAGATATTTTGTACAAACTTTTTATATCTTCCTTTAAACTATTTTTATTCACACTATGATAACACTAGAAATCACCAATTCAATGAGTAGTTCTACAATAGAAAAATGTGATAAAATATGATATTCTCATTTATATTCTTACTCATATTGAAGTTGTTTTTATTCATATATTTTCATATTCTACCATTCATCAAGTAGATAAAATTATTTAACTTGTTTTATATAGTTATACTCTACATTATTTTCGTGAAATTGCCGTGATTATCACAGCAACTAGTTTTTGTTGCCTTCATACCAACTAGTGCTTTTTTCAATGTTTCTATATTGTAATTGAACAAATTCATTTCTTTTCACTCCATGGTTTATGGCTTTTGCTATTGTTCACTCCTATTCGGTTACTAGTAAATCTAGTTGTTGTTCTTAAAAGCCTCAAAATGCTTCATGTAAAGCCTCATAAATTTTGACATCTTTATCTAACTTAATTTGAAGATTGGAAATCCAATTGTTTAAACGTCGAAATAGATTAATATTGTTCATCAAATATAACTAATAAATACAAGCGCTTCATTATTCCTGATATAACTTGTAATTATGGTAAACGTTAGGTTATGTAGAAAGTACTTTTTAATGATGTACTCAACACAACACCGATACTTCATGACACAGCAATAGTGACCTTTGATTCATATGCGTCATTGGTTTCTTGCGAGTTTAATAAAACACATCAAACTAAATAAATTTACTCCATTCTTTGTACGCTGTCTTTTTTGTCAGTCAAAATGTCACTGGTAGCTCGGACAAGCTAAATAACTATTTCGTTCCGTGTCTAGACTCCACAGTTGTATTCGTCCTTGGTGTTTTTTTTACCGTGTCTTCGAAAATTTTTAACTAGTTAAACTATTAAAATAAAACTCTGCTAAACTGAACTATCTATATTTGTCTAAACATTTAGTTGGGAGACTGTAACGTATGGACGACCCTTGAGCGATGCTAAAGTGACCTTGATACAGCTCACCTACTTATTACGGTAACAAAAGGGTTATAAATTTGTTTTAGGAATTAGAGTTCTAATTTAGGATGAGGAATTAAAACAAGGTTATTCATCACGAACTGACATAAGCTATAATTCCAAAATGCTGTTCGAATACATGGATGAATGAAGTTTGCGCATAATTGGGAAACTTCCTATACTTAATTTCATTGATTTGTCCATAAATTATAGTCTTTTCGTCTGAATACTTGACTGATACTATAATCAAAGATCTAAAGTTTTTCAAAACTTATTAGAATATCAAAAGCGGTAGGCTTTTATATATAGTAATTTATTCAATATATTTTATTCATATTACATATGTTATTCATAATAAATTGAATGATCAAATCTCATTGTATTCATTATAATTATAGCCGAGAAAAAAATAATGGCATGTATTCTTTTTTGATGAACAACTTGCCTATAAGATAAGAGTAAGATGTTTTTTTGTAATTATAACAGAATACTAGACAATAATAAAAATTCTCATGACTGAAAGCAAAAATAGCTGACTTTTAATATTTTTCAGAAGATTACATAAACATGATTTATTTGAGCTCTTTCATATAGTAGAGTGATAAGTTATGAAATCTAAAAACGGTTGGTCTTGTGCTTTCATATGACTTGCTGAATATTCACTGCTTCTCGAATAAGTGAAATGTTTAAATTCTAAGCACATATTTGCATATATTTATTTCTATCGTTTAAACTTATCATAGGGAAAACATTTATCATCAATCTTAAACAATCTGTTGTGTTATTAGAAATCTGACTAAAGCTTTAAAGCTTCCATAAAAAGTAGAACTAACCATACGGATAAAAATACCGAGATTTCAGTGTCTAAAAGAAGCACAATAATTCAATTATCAATCATGAAATAGCTAATATTAACCTCTTGTACGTATTCTCTCTTCTTGTTCATATCTTAAGTTTCTGTTATTTAATTCGTTTCACACTGCTGCACTTTCATTGTTACTTACTTAGTTCATAGAACTTTATACATTACACAGTCGCCGGTCTAAAATTTAATACGGCCGTGGATTACATAATTTATTGGCGTAAATTATCAGATAAATTTGTAAATTAATAACTACTCAAACTCTGCTGGCTTATTACCTAATTTAACTAATTCTGTCTTAACTTAGCCAGTGTGTATTTCAGTGAGTGTTTTTACGATACAACATTAAAATTCACTAAATGCAACCTGGCCTATATTTCTTCTCATCAAATCATGGAGTATAATTCACAATTAGTTAACCTCTTCAATAACTTAATATTTCGTAGTACCAACTTACCACTTGATTCTTGAGAAACTCATGAATTTCTGTGTAAAGTTTTTCACTTCCAATTTCTCCTTGTTGAAGCCAATTCGTATCAGATTTAGCTCTGAATTCCGCCATGGAATCTAAGTTAGTCCTGCTAGACTCTTTCATTTGTTGATTAACATTTTCATATTCATCTACTGTACCATGTTCGTCGTTTGGAATATGAGAATAATATGGCTGAGTAATCAAAAGTAAGCATACATGAACAGTTATAAAACGACTAATTGTGCAGTATGTATGCGCTTTTTAGCATAATGTAAACAAATGTACAATAGTAACCATATTATTAACGAAAGGTTTGGTCAATAAATTTACCCGTTAAATAAATGTTAGTGAAGTCTAAGTTTAAAGGTTGAGACTTTCATGAGTAGGTATCCATGATCACGGATCAACTAGAACAATCTCATTATTTCTTAATAACCAATATTATAATTCACTTGATATTGTTTTACTTGAATCTTCCCATTGATGTTTTAGGACTGAAATTGATCATTCACTTATTGGCATATGTGCATACTGTGCGTATGCCTCGATATTGCCTTAATTTACATGCATTTTTTAAGCAAAGATGGATTGTGGCTAGCAGTGGAATCCAGGACGCGCGTTTCGTCCTGTTTGGGACTCGTCATCTGGATGTACCTGCATCTCAGAGTTGATGTTCACTCTGGGACTCGAACTCAGAACTGAAATTGATCAGTCCTAAAACATCAATAGGAAGATTCAAGTAAAACAATATCAAATGAATTAAATTTCACCCCATTGCACAAGCAAGTGGCTATCAGGACTTAGTAGCTAAGTGGATAACGCGATGGCGTTTGAAGCGAACGGTACTGAGTTCGAGTCCCAGAGTGAACATCAACTCTGAGATGCAGGTACATCCAGCTGACGAGTCCCAAACAGGACGAAACGCGCGTCCTGGATTCCACTGCTAGCCACAATCCATCTTTGCAATATTATAATTGTTTCAATTAATCTTTGTTCAGTTCAAAGTGTATGGTGATGATAATTAGAGAAAAGAAAAAGGATTTAAATTTATTTTCAAATAAGATGGTAACAGAGAATCTATTTTGTACTCAATTTCTCCTTCTATTCTAAACTTACCTGCTGATCTACTTTTAATTCTTCAACAAAATCTAGAAAGCGAGCACTTTGTAATTGTATAGTGAGACTTGCATTTTCCTAAGAAAAAACAACAAAACAATAAGAATTCACGACTAAAATCTGATCAAATTTAGCCTAAATTTTGATTTAGGAGTTTCATCTTTGCTTACTACTGATGTGAAAGTATGTTCTCTATTCATTGAAAAATTCTAGAAATTCTGCTTAGGTATGAAG